TCAGGATGTGCCTTAGTTCATCTTAATCCCTAGTTCTGCTATTTATTTAGTGTCTTCTATATAGCTTCAATCTTTTTTTAATTAATTTTTTATTTTTTACGTTAATTATATTTTATTCGCTTTGTATCTCAGCTGTAGCCCCTCTCTCATTCCCTCCTTAATTCTACCCTCCCTCCCTCATCTCCTCCCATACCCTCTCCAAGTACACTGATCATAGCTTCAAAATTTCAGTACATTTGACTCTTTGCTTTGATTATCTACAGGTTAACCCTGTTGCTTTCTGCTGAGTACCAAAGTGTGCAGAATTAAAAGTCCAACTTCCTAAAGGAGAAACCTCAATTCATATCCCTACTCTACTACAATGCAGTGATAACTTCATTGGACAAGTTAATCTCTGTAAATATGACTTCTTCCCCATAAAGTTGGGATAATGAAACTGTTGGGAAAAAAAAATGAGCTGATGCATGTAGTTTGCTTAGTTCACCCAATTTTGCCTAGTTCCCATGGGGGAACTGCAGCTCAGTCCTGCAGGTGAGCCCAGGAGACAGTGCGGATCACATCTCAGAATTTTTCTCATCAGGAAAAGAGAAAGCTGGAGTACTTACTTCTCACACCCTATTCTCCAGTCATTGGCTGAGGCTAGGCAATTTTCCCCCTTCTGATTTCTGCATTTTGGTGCAGGTAACCAAGCAGAACTGTGAACGTGACTCTCAGGAAGCAGAAGCATGTACTGCTAGCAAGAGCCCTCAGGATAGGGGCATGAACAGAAATGGGAAAGGGAAAGTGACTGGAGAGATGTCTTAGCAGTTAAAATTACTGGTTGCCCTTCCAAAGGACCCAGGTTCAATTCACAGCACCCACATGGCAGTTTCCACAACTGTATGTAACTCCAGTTCCAGGGGATCTGACACCCTTACACACACTTACAAGCAGGAAGAAGACCAATGTAGATGAAACAAACAAAAAAAAAAGTAAATGAGTTTAAAAAAAAAAAGCAGTAAAAAGGTTCCTAGAGAAAACAGTCTAGATTATCTCCTCACATGTAGAAAAAAAAAAAAAAAGACAATTATTTTCTCCATCCACTTTTCTGAGGATGACATTTGGATGGAAGGAGGACAATAGGAAACAATAAACAAAAAGTAAATTAATTTCAGGTTGTTATAAGCATGGCACCAAAACTAAGTTAACTCGTATTGAACAAGAAATCTGTGTTATACAGACACCCAGTAAAGATTCTCTGGGGTTAAGTTTTAATTATGACCCGAATGATGACAAGAACTAAGTCAATTGACAGGTAAGGCTTTCTGTAAAGTTTGTGAAAAGGCAAAGTCAAGGACATGTTTTAGAAACTAAAAGAAAATTTAAGGTGAAGAGGACCTGACAAAGCATCCAAAACACAATGACTTAACACACCTTTTTTGAAGCTTCAGTCATTCAGGTGGCTGGACCAAAGATGAAGAAGCTAAGATAAACTCATTCTTGCACTGGTCCTTTTCTTTGTCTGGGTAGTGTTTCTCAGACAATTTCATGAACTTCATTTACATAGAGACAGTATTTAGAAAACCGAGACATTGCAAGACCCTTGGAACACAAATGCCTTGCTTCAGAGGTTACAAACTGTCACTCACTCCTACCAAGTTCTCTTGGTCATCAGCCAAGATTTACAAGATCAGGGAAATGTCTTGACAGGAAGTGATACAAAGGATCGTAAATTTCTTTAATTTACGATCAACAGAGACAATAAAGTGATACACGATGGGGGAAATTAAGAAGGGTCCTGTGGAACATGTTACAGTGTTTAGACTGCTGACATCTGAGAACCAATATATATATATATATATATAGATATATATATATATATATATGTAAAGGGATATATATATATATACATATATACTTATATATATGTAAAGGGATTTATTAGAATGCTTTACTGTCTGTGGTCCAGCTAATTTAACAATGGGTGGCTATGATTGGAAAGCCCAAAATTCAGTATTTTCTCAATCCACAAGTCTGTTTCATCTGGTCTCGGTATATGCTGGAATCACAAAGAAGTAGGCTCGAACACTAGTAAAGGAATGGACTTGTTAGTAGGGTGAGAGCAAGCAGGCAAAATGCAAAACTTTTCTTTTTCCATATTCTTATATAGGTTTCTAGTAGAAAGCATCGCCCAGATTAGCTCTGAATTAAAGATCTATATTAAAGTTGTATCTTCCTACCTTGAAGCTCTGAACTAATAAATAATAGTAGATCTTCCCATTTATATTAAGCAGAAATCCATCATAAGTGAGGTGTTACAGTTGGGTTATAGTCAATTCCAGATGTAGTCAAGTTGACAACTGAGAATAGCCATCACACTGAGGGCAGACTTTGAGGTTTCAAAAGGCTGGTGCCATTTTGAGTATGCTCTCTCTGCTCTTTGTGGATCAAGATGTGAGCTCTCAGTCGCTGCTCTAGCTCATGCTTGCCTGTTTGCTGCCGTATTTCTTTCCCTGGTGGTGATGGATTCTTGTCCATCTGCAAGCACAAGCCCCGAATAATTTTTTCCGTAAGGTGAGGTGGTGGTTTGAGTAAGAGTGATCCTATATAGGTTCATATACTTGAGTGCTTGGTCCCCAGTTAGTGGAACTGTTTGAGAACAATTAGGTATGGCCTTGTTGGAGGAGGTGTGCCACTGGGGTTTCACTCTGTGGTTTCAAAAGCCCAGGACAGGCTCAGAAACTCTCTGGTCACCTTCAGATCAGCACCATGACTGCCTGCCTGCCACCACACTTCCTGCTCTGATGGTCATGGACTAGCACTCTGAAACTGTAAGCAATCCCCAATTAAATACTTATAAGTTTCCTTAGTACTGGTGTTTCATCATAGCGTTAGGAAAGTAACTAATATACACAAAGATTTCTTTTTGTTCTTGGTACATGTTTTTCACTCTGTTTGCATAAGTTTCCCTGAGTGTGTGTCTGTGTATACAGGCATATGGAGGCCAGAGGACAACCTTGGGTGCCATTTTTCAGGTGCCATCCATCTCTTTCGGAGACAGGTTTCTTTTTTTTCTCATTTTTTATTCTTTATTAATTACACTTTATTCACTTTGTATTGCTCCCTGTAGTTCCCTCACTCCTCCCGTCCCAATTCCTTCCTTCCTCCACCCTCTGCATGCATGCCCTTCCCCAAGTCCACTGGTAGGGGAGGACTTCTTTTCTTTCCTTCTGATCCTAGTCTATTAGGTCTCATCAGGAGTGGCTGCATTATCTTCTTCTGTGGCCTGGTAATGCTGCTTCCTCCTCAGGGGCAATAATTAAAGAGCAGGCCAATCAGTTCATGTCAGAGACAGTCCATGTTCCTATTACAATGGAACCCACTTGGATACTGAACTGCCATAGGCTACATCTGTGCAGGGGTCTTAGGTTATCTCCATGAATAGTCCTTGGTTGGAGTATCAGTCTCAGGAAAGACCGCTGTGCTCAGATTTTTTGTTTCTGCTGCTCTCCTTGTGGAGTTCCAGATCTTACTGTTTCCCACTTCTTTCATAAGATTCCCCGCACTCTGCCCAAAGGTTGCCCATAAGTCTCAGCATCTTCATTGATAGTCTGCAGGGCAGAGCTTTTCAGAGGTCCTCTGTGTCAGGCTCCTGACTTGTTCCCTCTTTTCTCCTTCTTCTGATGTCCATCCTCTTTGCCTTTCTAGATAGGAATTGAGCATTTTAGCAAGAGTCCTCCCTCCTTAGTATAGCCTAGGTGTTGTTTGTTTGTTTGTTTGTTTGTTTTTTCCCTAAAGGACAGGAGTGTTTTAATGCATGCTAGGCTTGATGGAGGAGGAAATGCTTTCTCTCAGGAAAATACCATAAAAACAATCCTACACATGATTGCATATTCTCACATAGCCAAATAGCTATTTCAGTCTTTAACACAGAATTTCAGGCTCCCTACAAATCCATAATTTACTAGATGCTACAGCTCACAGAGAAAGGATGATCATTATTTTAGACATTTTTATGAACTTGTTTAACAATAAGCATTAAAAACATAATTGAGCATCTAAATTCCTCAGGTACGCAGATGAGTACTTTGTTAGCACCTCTTTTTACAGTTTTTAAGATATGGAAAAATGTTATGTTAGGGCAAAAAAGGAGCCAGAACAATAGAAATGACACCTATACCCAAGAAGCCATATGTAAAGCAGGGAGGGGAAGCAGAAGGAGAGCATACACATGGAGGCAGAAAGAATACCTGGATACCAAAAAACCCAAGTCCATCAAGAGAGTCTCAGCTCTCTTGGAGTCCATTTCCTAAGCACTTGTACTTCCACTTCCATTTCTGGGGTTAATTTTTTCCAATTGCTTCTCATGAGAACATCTTAGTTTTAGGATATCCCTGTCATGATTTAAGTATGAGATAACCCAACTCTGTGTTGAATGTTTGATTCTCCAGCCAGTGATAGCATTTGGGAAAGTTCTGGAAACTTTAGGATATGAGGAATAGTTGGCTGAAGTAGTTCACCAAGGGCCTGTTGTAGGTGGACCTCACCCCTTCCTTACTCCATTGTGTCTATGTAGCACATTTTATTTATCCATCTGTTCATGGGTAGAGGTCGAATCCATGTCTTAGTTACTGTGGGCAGTGCTGGGATAGTTACATGTTTTTATTCAGTCGGTAAACATTCTGAGAGCCAGAGGTTCTTTCCTCTTTACCGCAGAGAAGGGTGAGAGCTGATTACAATGCAGTGCTGTAAAACAACATTTGGAACTTTGTGGACACTAGTTACATGGTATTTGTTGGTGTTGGTGTTTTCACCTTTGCTTATGCCCTCTGCAGAAATCATCTTGGTTGAGACCTTCACCAGGTAATTACAACAGCTTTCATCCTAAGTT